AGGTGCGTCGTAAACTTGAGGACCGCAACAAATGGTGTCTTCTTGGTTTCCTTGCAAAACCACTCCAGGGGCATCCTCCAAAGGAACGCCCATCTGGCCTAGGTTGAGCGCGGACAGCTGCGAAAGGGTTGGGTAGGTTGCACCAAAATCTGCGAGCTGCAGCCCCTGTGATTTCGGTGGGGGGCCGGGGTTGTGACAAATTCCCACCCCCGCCCCAAGAAAGTCGACAAGTCTACATTTATTCTGGCGCACGGAAACCTCCCAGGTGCGATCCGTGCGCGATCGATCCGTGCACGATCCGTTGGTGTGGGGTAAAAACAGCTAACATACAGTTAAAATCCGTTGGTGTGGGGTAAAAACAGATCCGTTGGTGTAGTTAAAATGCACAATACAAGTACTACAATACATCCTGATCCGTCCAAACCACTCGCTTGCTCAAAAGACCTGAAAGTGAAGGTTTTCACCTCGTCTTGGGGCAACCGCGGGTTTCTTCGGGGCCGCGTTCAAACTCGACATACTTGGGCTGCCACTGGATGCAGAGGTGGCCATCGTCCTCGCGACGAGATGTCTTCACCGCATCGAGAGATCTATCCGATCTATCCATAGGTGTCCTTTTAGGTGAAATAGATGGCCCTGGCAGATGATTAAACCACCAGGTCCAAAACAACCAAAAAGGACACCTATGGATCTATCCCTTTGATCACTTCCCTCAAAAAGCGAAACCATTTGGGCGTCCCTCTCAGGCTAAAGGCCTCTGCTTATTGGCTTCCTTTTGCCACAAAGCCTTGGAGACCCTTTCCGGGGACGTGTCAGCTTGCCTCAAAAAGGGTGGCTTGGAGCCCGGCTTCTTGGTTCGGGGTGGTTTCCCATTTACCTGCAAGAACCCAGGGGTTCAATCCACCAACCACCAATCCAAGCCACCAGCTAAGGGTGACCTGATATGACCACTTGCTTTCACCTTTCCTCGTGTCTGGCGCATCCATCCGAGACTTCAGAAACTGAGACCGAGTCGAATTTTGGTTCAAAGGAACCGTTCACAGCAAGAAAACAGTCTCCAACCACTTCAACTTGCTGGAACTCAGGGAATGAGGGAATGAACCCCATGAACCATCCTCGAGTTGGTTTCCTTTCAGGGCAACCCCTGGGTTCATTCCCTCATTCCCTGCCTATCGCACCAGCAAGTCCACCTCTGTCTTTCGACCTTCCCCCTGTCTTCAACACCGACAGAGAACTCTCGCGCCTCCCCGGCACAGCTCAGCACTGCGGAGACGCCCTCGTCGTCTCGCATCTGAACCTTGATCACGCGACGGGGTGCGTGTCAACATGGGGGAACCAAAGAGGTGGTGTGTCCGCCGTTCCTTTTGTACGTGTTCCCTTCAAAACGACGACCTAAAAAACGGCAGCCTTACAAAAGCACATCCACCCCGCAGCGAAATGGGGAGCATAGTGATGGGTGAACATCCTGCAGACATGTCTGGCGCTGGCTTCTTGGGTCCGAAGGAGTTTTTTTTTTTTCTCGACAGCTCTCAAACAAACCTAGTAGAAGCAGCTTCCTCCAAAAGTTGGAGTTACATGGGTGTGGGTCAATATTAAATCACCAGGAATCGGACGGCAGATTCTTGTCCATGTTTCGATTTGCCAGGGAAAGCCATTTTAGGGGTTGCCCTGTTTTGACCCGCAGCCACATACCTCCGACCAGTGGCTCCAAAGGAAACGACTCCTCGCAGCCACCTCTCTGACCGACCGGCGTCGCATCTGCGGGCCGCGCCAAGGCGCAGGACCCGGCCTCGCTGTGCTCCAGGCGAACCTTGAGCCGGTCCGGTGCTGGCCAAGCCACATGGAGAACCCCACCACCTAGTGTCTGAAAATAAGGGGCACCCGAAGAAGGGAAGCTTGTTCCAAAGGTTTCCCCCTCTTTTTTTTACACCGAAAAAAGGACCGCCACGGAAAAAAAACGCTGACACACCCGCTTGGGGGGAAACGTCCTTCCCGGAATGGCCTAAAACCCGGGCGCCGCGCGAACCTTGCGATGCCGTAGGGTCTGAGCCCATCCTGCCGTGGGCCGTCTGGTTGGGTGTCATCTGCTTCCCCCCATCGGCGCCAGCGAAAGAGACCAAACTTGCTGCTTTGTTTGGCCACTGGTTCATGTCCAACCACTTTTGAGGTCCAGTAATTCGTGTCCAACCACTTGTGGGGTTCCACCCAAAACAAAAACGCCAGCACTTGCACAGCGCATGAAAACAGCCGGCCGGTCCTTCATGTCCCTCCAGCTCACCGTCGAAGGCACTTTGTCCTCGACACTGTCTGGGAGGCTCGATTTGTCTTAGCCCTGGTAGTTGCAAGGCTTTACGGTGGCTTGTCCAAGAACCTGCACCATGGGTCCTCCAGTAGAGAGGGTAGAATAAAATAGAATAAGGGTAGGGGAACCCTCCCCCAAAAAAACATAAAAGGGCACTACTGGGGGACCCAGGCACCATGGCTCTTATTTTTTGATAAGAAGTCCGGCGAGTCTTCACGGGTCCGGGGTCGCTGCGCCCGAGAGCTAAGGGCTCGGCAAAGCGAAGTACCAAGCCCCGCTCCTCGGTGCGAGTTGCAACAGGATGGAAGAATGACTGGGGTGAGGTGATAGCTCAAGTAGTTCCATCTCCAAATCAGGGGCATTTGCCCCAGACTTGCAGAAGGCAGGGCTTTCAGAAGCAACGGGCAATCGGATTTGTGGTTGGAACGCTGATGCCATGGGGGAGACGGAGCACGGGTGTGGCTGCAGAGAATGCGGCGTACGCTGCACGGGTGGTCCGTCTGAAGTGCTGCCAGGGGTCCATGGACCTTGCAGCCTCCTCTGCTTCCTCATCCATGCCTCGGCAAGCTACCCTTGGCGCGAATGCCCACGTACACAACGTATCTATACACAATATCATCCGGTATGCGCGAGTAACCACATCTATCCACAAAACCACTACATCAGCACGGCGCCAATGGCCGGATGGTTCCCCAACTTGCAACTTTTAGGCCGTCCGTCCCCAAAAACCTCGGATGCGGAAGCCAGGCTATCGGCAATCCGACCAGAGGAAAGTCTGATTCATCTGGCTGTGGGTCAAAAATCGGGTGACCCAAATGGAACCCCTTAGTAATTGGAACCAAGGACTAAAACCTGCGGTCCAATTCCTGGTAGGCTTATTTTTGACCCACACCCATCCGAAGCCAACCAAACGCGGAGCGCCGACCGCCGCGCGTTTCCAGTTGCTGTGGGCGTTACGCCGCCGCTTCTCTTTGTGCTTCTGCTCCCGCTGCTCCTCCCAGTCCGAGCCTCAGCCAAGAAGGGCTCCAAATGTCCAAACGGGTATGGGTCAAAACTAAACCACCAAGGGACCGCAGGTTTTGGTCCATGTTTCCACTTACTAGGGTTCCATTTGGGGTGACCCTATTTTTGACCACACCAATCCGGACCTCGAATGAGCCTCGTCGTAGTGAAAGCGATCGCCGTGAACGGCACCAAAAAGAAACACCGCCCGTAAGGCGCGCGCTTTCCAGCTTCCTTTTGGCCTGGCGAATGCGCCAAGCGGCGCATGCCGCAAGACCAACCAATCTCTCCGCTGCCTTTGAAAAAGTGCAAGGCTCCTGCAGAAGAGACCACTCAAAAAACAAAAAGTAGTACTTGAAGCCGAGCTTCCCCTTCAAGTTCAAACAGCCAAAAGAAAAGAAAAAAAGACAGAAGAAAAAAAAGAGAAAGAAAAAATAGGAAAAAAAGGAAGAAAAAACAGTGCTTCTTTCCCCTGAAGCTTGGAGAGAAAAACCCCTGCCTCGCGCTCGCGACGGAGGTCGCTGAGAAGCCGCCTCAAGCAGCTCTTGCAGCCAAGACTCCCGAGACGCGCGGCTCTCAAGAGAAAGCAACTTAGAACCACCAAAAAGAAGTCATCCCCACATGCTTGCCCCGGGTCTCAACCACCAAGAGGCAACTCACCTTTATTAAAAACCCAGTTGGGGGGCAAAACGTAGCGAAGTGGATTTTGTCCACAGCATTATCCTACCTTTAATGTGGCCTTCCGAACCACACACACTCCCATTCCAAGTGGTTTTGGCCGCCATTTTGGCCTTGAATTTATGTAACCACCAGGCATTTAGGGTATTCAACCCCCAATGGCCCCATGGCTGTGCTCGATGTTCGGAGCACCTCCGGAACCGGTCCGGAACCCTAGCGACCGCTTTTCGGACCAGAAGAGGCCAACTGCAGCGAAGGGACTGATCCTTGACGCCGGAAAGCCCGAACCTGCCTAGGAACACTCCTGGGTCCAGCCCTTTTTCCGCCAGAACCTCAAGCCAACTTTGCTCCGGAACCTGGAAACCCGCCACCTGTCGCACGTGGCACACACTGTCCGCCGTGGCTCTTATTTTCTTTCTCTCGCAGCGCCGCGGAAAGGCCAAGTCGCGAAAAAGCGCCCGGCGCCTTCTTGGCGCGGTGTCGTAAATACGCCGCTGGAAGAAAGCGCCGGGCCACTTGGGTGTACATCAGTTTTTGGGGAACCGCCTTGCCAAACAGTCACGTTTTGGGGGGGAAGGGGGTCATACAGTTGATTGGATGTTTACAGGATGACCAAACGGAGCCGTTGCCATTTTGGGGAGCCGCTTTCTCATGCTGGGTTGACCCTACTTTCCACGGCCCATGACCACTCCCACCACTCTCCAATCAGAATTACTAGGTCGGCCCGTGTTAAAACATCCTCAAGGATGGAAAAAAGCAAGCCTCACTTTTTGAGTGGATTTGCCAAAACAGTCCAAGCTTGTTGTTTGCCACCAAAACACATCCGCCGGCCCAAACATCTGAACAAAGTCAACCTCAGGCCTCAGGGAGTTGAGAGAGCGGAATCTGGCCGGTTTTTTGCACTTGCGCACCCTTATCATTTATAAGTCACAACACTTTTCACAAGTCTTCCCATACATGGTACATAGTCCAGCAACCGAGGGTGGTTTTGGATAGGACAGGGTCATGCGCCATGCCCGGCTCAGCTGCTTAGCAGCTCCTGCGGTCGAAGGCCTTTCCCAGACAAGAATTTATCAGCACACGACCAATCAAAGGAACGCCTAAGATATGTGATGCGCATGCTGCTTCCGCAACGGCAGCCCCAAGAGCCGGAAGTCCTCCTTTCCAGTTTTGAAACTGCTGGGTTGTTCAAAACTGGAAACATGGGACACCACTGCAACAAGGGAAGAAAAAGGATCCAGGATTACTCAAAAGTGGCACAGGCCAACTGAAATGTTCAGAGGGATTGCACGAGTTGCACCCCAAAAAGAAAACTCAACCCCTCAACCCCTCGCCTCAACGCCTCAACCCCTCAGCCCCTCAACCCCTCAACCCCTCAACCCCTCCACCCCTCAACCCCTCAAACCCCTCAACCCCTCAACCCCTCAACCCCTCAACCCCTCAACCCCTCAACCCTCAACCCCTCAACCCCTCAACCCCTCAACCCCTCAACCCCTCAACCCACTCCACAACCCCTCCACCCCTAAACCAAAAAAAAGAAAAGAAAGAACTACACCCCCCAACCCCTCCACCCCCCCCCCCCCCAAACAAAACCAACAAAACCCGTCCTGCGCCCAGCCGCCCTCCACCCCCTCGAAGGCTGCCAGCAGCTCGGCGCTGACCAACAAAGTGTCCACGGGCGAGGGCCCGAAGGCGGACAGGAACTCCTGCCACCGGAGCCAAGAATCAGCCGCACGCCACGCGCTTTTTTTGCCGCGAAAATCCTTTCGGCTGCAGCTTCCGCCCGCGCAAGGTTTTAAGAATTCCACCGGATCCGGAACGGAATTCTAATGGTTTACATTGAATTCCACAAGCATTGGTTCACAATGGGCATGGTTCCGAGCCGGACCTGAGGTTCAACACTTGGTCGCTCCAAGTTCGCTGGCGAGCTCAAGTGGCTGTATGATGAGGCCGGTCTGAGGTAGACATGCTACACCTATGATCCAACTGCTTGGCGTCCATCAAAAGGACGAGACCAAGAGCACGTGGCCACTTGTGGAGGTGCAGGGAATACAAACCAAAAACTGGCCAAAGCTAGGGCGTGCTTTTCGGAGAGGCCAAGGAACACTTGTAGAAAAGGGGCAAGGGCAATGAGGCTCTTCCCCAGTGCAATTCTGGTGCAATGTGAGCCGTCTTGCCTGAAGCCTGTCATGAAAAATGAGGCAATGCTCTTCCAACCCCGTCTTCGGCTCATTTCGTTCCGAATCTAGAAAACGGTTTGGATGCGCCTGTTGCGGATTTCACCTGTTCTTCCTTCTGTTGGCCCATTTGTTGTCCCTCTTTTTGTTGGTGCTATATTCCACGGGGACGGATCCACAAAAGGCGCCTCCAAACCGTTGTCTCGACCCCAGGCCGGGCCAAACAAACCGTTCCAACCGCCTGCGAGGCCAGCGACTGCACGCTGGGGTCCGCCCGGGCATCCAGCAAAGGCCCCACCACCCCGCGGTTGCGGCTGCGGTAGCCCCCGTAGTCCTCCAAAAACCCGACCGCTCCAAGCAAATTCGGACGTGTGGGCTCGATTCTTTTTTGGCCCCTTCCTTCACAAATCAATTAAGAGTCCATATTTTGTTTGACGATCCACCTATGCCGCTTTAGTTTGCCTAGCTTGCTTGCCATGAGGCTTGGATTGGCAAACCGTGTTTGAAGTTGTTTTTCTTGCCCTTGGCAAACTTCGAGTGGTGCGTTGCATTGCTGGGTTTGTGGCTCCTGAGCCGTCTCTTGAACCTCAATCCATCATCTAACCCCCCCGAGTTCCTCCAAATAAAGACTCATTGCGGTCATGTTGCCGGAGAATAGAGGCCAGGAGGCCTGGGGGCCAATGAATATACCCATTCAGGGTTCCACTTTTGGACTACCCCAAGATAGGCTTCAACCCATACCCTGGGGTGGTCCAGAAGTGGGAACCCTGTACCCACGGCATAGTCGCCAGCCCTGGCACTCACCGTCGGATTCATGGAGCACGCGCCTCCGTGGAATCCGACACGCCATCCAGCGACATGTTCCGAGACTCAAAGGCGGCACCTGGCAGCTCCCAAAAACTGCGGCACCGTGTAAAATGAACCTCCAACTGGGTATGGGTCAAAAGGAAAACATGGTCACATTCGGGTACGTAATGTTACAAACAGGATTCTTATCCGAGGGCGGTGGGTTGGGGAGGTGGAAATTGCCAACCCCACCCCACCCTACCGCCTGCCTTCCACAAAAACAATGCCCAGTCCGCTCCTTCACTAAAGGTCAACCTCCTGGGGCCTTGGACTAAATAGTGCGGCCAAAGGGCAAAACTAAGAGTTTTGGCAACTTGTGCTGGGATTGTGCCCCTGATTAGTTTAATATCCTTGCGCTGCAGCAAGTTTTTGGGCAAGTAGCCCACCCCCCCCCCCCCACCCCCCTCGCGCCATAGATCAGCGCTGACCAACCGCAAGGCGTCAGCTGATTTGGGTCAGCACCCAGCCGCAGCATGGACTGCACCCAGCGCACCCCTGGCGAAATCCCGAGCTTGCAAACATGCCATCGCATCCAACACAACCACACACTTGGACTCCGAGTACAACTGATGAGTCTCGAGTACAACTGATGAGTCTCGAGTACAACTGATAAGTCTCAACTACAATAAGTTTCGGCTCGCACGTCACTCAGCTTCACTCTAGTTACTTGAACAGGGAAACAAGGAAGCAACAGCGATTCAGGGAGGAGACCAAACGGGGTCTTCGTTGGCCCGCGCCATCCAGTTGCTCGCAGGCCTAACCAAACTCCCCTGCTGCAGCGGAAAAGGGTTTTGGTGGCAGGGTATTCTGCCACTCCGCACACACACACACGCCCCTCTGTGAGGGGCGAAAAGTCTCTTTTTCTGCCGGAAGATCACATGCTCAGCTCCTCAACTCTTAACGTCTACCAAAATATCCACAGCGGCGGGGAGAACGCGAAACTGCACGCTCCGTACGAGGCCGCTCAGAAGACGGGGACGAAGGATCTCCAAGGTGAGCAAGACGTGTGCCGCCATAGAAGACGGGCGGAAGCTGCAAAGATGTCGAGTGATCACCGTCCGATTTGGGTGGGGCGTAGGTGAACATCTCCTCGGCCCGGATGATGTCCGGATTTTGCACTTCAACAAGTGGTTGATCCGGAGCATGATGGGTGGAGAAAGACTCATAGCGGGACAAAATCCGTTGATAGCCTTGATGTTGCCAGTCACGCATTGTCCATGCTTGACCTGGTTCACAAGTCCCATCATCAGGATCGGTTACCCGTTTCCACTCCCGAAACGAGTTGTCTGGTAGGTCAGGTACTGCCTCTTCTGGGTGCCACAGTTGAAGTTGTCCCGGAGTATAGATCCGCACCCACTCCTGACCTTGCCAGACGGAATATTCGAGCCATGGGTGCTGCTCATCAGTTCGGCCCAACGTCTGAGTTGCATCATCTGTGTCCATGTCGAAGTGAGACAGGGCGTACCGCAGGTTCCGATCCAGCTAGCAAGGAAACAGTCACCATGCACAACCATGCACAACCAGCAAATACACAAGAAAGCAAGAGCATGAGAAAGCACCCTTTTGTGCCACGATCAAAACGCATCAGTCTATTCATCGCTTAGCTCGAAGATAGGCTTCTCCTTGTTGGTAGAGCTGCATGGTTGGGTCGCAGGTAGATATGGATCAGCGACCCCAATAGACTCAGGTGGTTCAACTCCACGAGATACACGTACTGGTTGGTGCTGATGGGACGCTTGACGCGCGCGATCCGACAGTTGCTGACAGATCCCAGCTTGAAGACGAGTGAGATCCTCAGTAGAGAAAGCCGAAGCAGTCCCCGCAGAAGCTGTAGAAATTTACGGCTGCGTGAGTGTTCTCGGCGAAGAACATCCTGTTCTGTAGCACCAATGTAGTCTGGACTATGCCATGGTGAGAGTCTGATGTAGACGCATGGTTGTTGATGATGGCCCGGATCCTGAATGACGACAGTCCGTGAAGAGATTGTATGATCCGAGGTTGTTGGTGAGCTGGACCATCAAACGACCTGCCGTCAAGGGCCGCCGCACTTACCGTAGGCAGCGAGCTGGTTGGCGTCGAAGACTGTGAATGGTTGGCCGGAGGCGGTGTAACCAGCCCTGCATCATCTTTCTGAGAGGGCAACGTAGAAGAAGGCGAAGCTCGCTGTGACGCCGAGTACTGTGCCTGGAGCAACTCATGAGCTCGATGGAGATCATTGTACTTCTTCAGCATGTCACCTTCTTGGGTAGAGGGCGTAAGAACGCCGATGAAGAAACTGAATTACCAGATTGGCCAAGTGATCGTGAACCTTGATGCGCTGATTGAAGTCGTCAAGGTTGAGCCCAAGTGAATTGGCGAGGTCGTTTTGCAAGGTAAGCAGGTTGAGCGGCTGCGATCGGCGCAGTAGCTTTGAACAGGTACTCCAGAGCAGGGCCTTGGTGCGGGTACGAAATCCTTCCCACGTCACGAATCTCCCGTGAGCAAATGGTCTCAGTAGCCCCGTGTATGACCTGAACCAAGCGAACATCCCGAATGTCCATGCCAGACATATCTCGTAGATTATTGTGTGGGGTGTTGGCAACCGTCATGGGCAGGCTAAAAGAGTAGAGCTGGTTGATGTCGAACATGCCGTCACCAGGTTTCCAATCGTCTGGTGGAGTAAGCCACGCTTTCTGAGGCCGCACTGGCAGCGTAGCTGGGTATCCAGGCGATGTTGTAGTTTGAGAGGAAGGAACCGGTGCGTGGGCAGGTGGTGGTATGGGCTCCGGAGGAAACGGCATCATGTAGTTGACCGGAGAATGCTGAAAGTGTTGCGAAGAGGGGGGATTCTGTTGGTAGTTGCCCTGCGGCATTGGAAATGCACTGGAGGCGTTGTAGCCCGAATTGTGTTGCCAGGAAACCAAGTTGTTCCAATCCATGCCGTCCGAGACCAGGGTGTCATCATGATCACGTCTGCGTGCTTTACGATGCTGGGAAGATGGACTCCGATCCCGTCTGCGCCGAGTTCTGGATCTGCCACGATCATCTCGTCGAGACTGACGAACCCAGGTAATAGCGCAAATCAACCTTGAGAAAGACTAAGACAACCAAGCAACAATTCCATGACAACGCAAGAGCATGCCAAGACAACGAATGAAAACATCAGCAATCAGCACCCGCGGGCCCGTGAGACGTCGCTATGATCTGATGGCTGTCTTCCTTTTAGTGAAACCTCGTTCCTGCTTAAACGTGAAATTCCGCTGGTCTATGATAAGAACGTTGAGGTCAAATTTTCCGGCGAACCGGCCCGGGGTCACACGATGGGTACACCCGAGGGTCCCAAGGATGGGGTGTTCACACTTGGACTCTAGATGGAGGGTTCTAATCTTTCGAGTACAACTGATGAGTCTCGAGTACAACTGATGAGTCTCGAGTACAACTGATAAGTCTCAACTACAATAAGTTTCGGCTCGCACGTCACTCAGCTTCACTCTAGTTGCTTGAACAGGGAAACAAGGAAGCAACAGCGATTCAGGGAGGAGACCAAACTGCACAGCAAACTGGATGGGTCTTCGTTGGCCCGCGCCATCCAGTTGCTCGCGGGCCTAACCAAACTCCCCTGCTGCAGCGGAAAAGGGTTTTGGTGGCAGGGTATTCTGCCACTCCGCACACACACACACACCAAAAAGCATACACAAAACAAGAGCACACACACACAAACAAACAAAAACAAAAACAAAAACACAAACAAACAAGCAAGCAAGCAAGCAAGCAAACAAACAAACAAACAAACAAACAAACAAACAAACAAACAAACAAACAAACAAACAAACACCCTGTGGTATGTTTCTGTTTTGGGGCGGTGGCAAGTAGTTTTACGACACACATGCCATCAAATTCCAAAATCCTGCAACTGACCTTACGAGTTCACCCTTTTGACATGACCCGGCTCCAAGTGAACGCCAACAAACTCATGGTGCGGAACCACGTGAGCCTGGATAGGTGCCCTTGCAAAATGCCACTGAAAAACAAACACACATATACAGGGCACATCAAGATAGCCACCTACCGCGACATGGGTTTGTCTCCAAAACACAGTTCGTTGGTGGTTCCCTTACACAATCCTCTCCACCCCAACCCCTACCCAAACGAAGGTAAAGCACACACCCGGAGAAAATGACGACAAAGCTCGGTTCCTTTTGGTTTGCCTTTAAAGCAAACAAACACAAGTACTCCTGGATGCCCCCCGGGTTTTGCAAAAAGAAAACACCCGAACCACCGCGGAGAAAAAAAAAAAGGCGCGCTCGGCCCCCGACGCCGTCCGCCCCCGCCCCCCGCCTTGCCGCGTGGCCCACATCAGCGCCGTGGCTTGCGTGGCGCCTCGGGGAGCGGGTGGCGCCACCAGCGCGCGACGGTCCAGCTTGCCTCAGCCGGCTCCCCTCCGAATATTTTGGGTTCGGAGAAAGGGTAGTCGTGGGTTGGAGCCTGGCTGGATCTGGAAGTAAAAAACCCCAATCCAGCCTATCAGAACCAAGAAAAACAACTTGGCCCTGGTTCAAATCCGGGGGGTGGCGCCAACAGCGGGTTGCCCTACGTTTCCGACTTGGGTGCAGTTCGCTTCTTGCGAAACGCAAATTCAAGCTCTTTTCAGGATGTGTCCTTCAAACAAAGCAAACTCCAAAAAAATCAGCGCCCTACATGTCCACTTTGACTTCTGCTTGGCTAGAACAACTTGGGTTTAAAAAGAACCTGTCACGGCAACTCATCCCAGAATGGCAGCCAGAAGGCAATGTCAAACCGACCCAAAAAGGAAAAGAAAGCATGGATAAGGTTCAAGGACCCCTTGTTGCCTATTCAATGGGGAACTGTACATTGCCGTCAACTCTAAAACAGCACCAAAAACGAAGACACGATCCCCACCGGAACGAAAACCCCCAAGGATCACCCAGGATTCCTGCCCACCTTTCGAGGTTCCCCCACGCTTTCCATCCGCATCCTATGACTCAATTTGATCTGAGAAAAACGCGCCTCAACTCAGCTTCCCTCTAATTATATATTTGGTCGTTGGATTGGCGGTTTGGGGTCGTTTCCCATGTATCCTCTACAAGCATTAAGGGTTTGCCTGATCAATCCCATTCACCACCCCTCACTTTGGACCCTCTCCCCCCCCCAAAAAAAGGAAGCAACAAAAGGGTGGGGGAAAAAAAGGGAAGAAAAAGAAGAAGAAGAAGAAGAAGAAGAAGAAAAAAACGGGCCGCCTGGCGCATCGGAGGGCACCAACTTCAGCATCGCCACCTCCCAAAAATGGGCAGGCGTCCGTTCTTTTCCTTTCTTGCTTTTTTATTTTGGCGAAAGGCAGCCACCGGAAGTTGAAGAGGACCACACAATTACACAGCGTCGCGTCCAACCAACCAAATGCAAAAACTCTACGAACACACAAACGCAAATTTGTGGGCCTCCTTCTGGCGTCCCTCCAATTACCAACCAAAAGGTTCCGGGGGTGGTTTCCCATTTACCCACCAAAACCAGCAGTTCAAATCCAAACCCGAACCATTAAAGGAGAACCTGGGAAGAGGTGCCCAAAGACGGCCATGGAGTAGGATTACAGCTGATGATGTCCCTAGGACTTCGAAGACTTCCTTTCCCAAACTCCAGGTATTTGGGTTCGTCTCTTTTCTTGCGAGTACCTTCTTCACAGGCAACAAACTTAAAAGGAGACCCACCATTATTATCATTTTTTTGGGGGGTCCCCCTTTGTTTGGTAAGGACACCCATTTTCTGTTTGGCTTTCCCGGAAACCAACAAAAACATTATCCCGAAGCTCCGGTGTTCTTGTGGCCCCACACCCACAAATTGCCCCCCACCCCCCTCCTCCCCTCCCCCTCTCCTCCCCCCCCCACCCACAAATGCCCCCCCCAAAAAAAAAAACAGCGGCTTCCGAGGCCTCCTGCAGGCTGCCGCCCAGCGCGAGGCGCAGCGACACCGCGGTCTCCACCGCGGTCAGCTCAAGACGCATGGACTCCTTGATGCCCTGCCTACGCAGGCCGAAAAAACATCCAACCCCACCCCGGCCCCGAACCGAAGGGAAAAAAACAAACACGACCCAACGAAAGGACCCAAAGAATCCGTCTCCGAAAATAGAGGGCGCCCAAAATGCCCCTTCAGAACACCAAGATGGAACCCAACCCACCAGAAAAGGACCTGAAAAATGTGGAGCTTGATTCGGCTTTGGCTGAGCCTCCATTTCAACTCAACTCGAAGATTGGCCAGGACCCTCTTTTTCATGGACCAAGGACGGCCAAGGAGACAAGAACAAACGGGCCTCAAAACACTGAGATATAGACCCAAAGAACTTGGCGTGTCCTCTGGTTACCTTCGGGGGGCATGGGTGTGTATGTGTGTGTGGGGGTGGGTGGGCGTGGGGGTGTTTGTGAGTGTCGTTTGGTGTTTGTGTTCGTGCCTATGCGCTTGTGTGTTTGCGCATTGGCGTTTTAGTTGTGATTGTCGGTTTGTGTGGTTGTGATCGCGCTTGAGCTTCCGCCTGTGCTTGTGTGATTGTGTAGGTGCGTTTGTGCTCGTTGTTTGTGGTTGTGTTGTGCATGGTTGTGCGTTTTGTGTTTTGCGGTGTTCGTGTGTGTGTGTGGTCGTGTGCTCGTGTGTGCTCGTGTGTTCGTGTGTTCGTGTGTGTGTGTGTGGATGTTCGTGTGTTCGTGTGTGTGTTCGTGTGCTCGTGTGTGTTCGTGTGTTCGTGTGCGTGTCTGTGTGTTCGTGTGTTCGTGTGTTCGTGTGTGTGTGTGTGTGTGTGTGTGTGTGTTTGTTCGTGTGCTCGTGTTTGTTCGTGGGTTCGTGTGCTCGTTTGTGCTCGTGTGTTCCTTTGTGTTCCTGTGTTCGTTTGTGTTTGTTTGTGTTGGTTTGTGTTCGTGGGTGTGTTTG